AGCGAGATGCGAAATATGCTGTGGAGACCTGGGATTTGACAGAATGTCGTCCACATAAACCTCCATGTCCTCCCAATCTGGTCGGAGAACATTCGGTTGACTAACCTCTGGTAGGTCGCACCTGCGTTCTTGAGGCGAAGGGCATGACTTTGTAACAATATAGCCCCCGGTCCGTGATGAAGGTCGTATGCTCTGTCTGGCTTGTACATCGGGATTTGGTTGTATCCCGAATATGCATCCATGAAGCTTAATAGCTCGTGCCCGAGGTGGCGTCAACGAGCTGGTCGATCCTTGGGAGGGGGAAGCTGTCTTTGGGCAAGCTTTATTCAGGTCGCTGAAGTCTACGCAGGTCCGCCACTTGCCATTTGGCTTCTTGACCAAGATCGGGTTAGCAACCAGGGCGGGTAAAGAGCCTCGCGAAAGATCCATTGCGAAGAAGGCTCTCCACTCTGATTTTAATGCGGCGTACCGTCCGGATCCATTGCCCTTCTCTTTTGGCGAACTGGCTTAGCTTCACTGTTGACGTTCAGTGGGTGACAAATAACGTTCGGTCGATCCCGACCATGTCTGCAGCGACCAGGCGAACACATCAAGTTCTCCTTAGGAAGCTTATTAGCTCAGAGGCGAGAGGCGGGGACGAGACAGCTTCCGATCTTTAGCGTTCGGCTTGGTTCTTTGGATCAACAGACACCCGGACAGATCCTCCACGCGGACCGCGGGGGATTTCCTGAACTCGCGGATCTATGTTATCCTCTGCCGACCAGGCTGTGGCTCGGCGGCTGATCGCCATAGCGTGGCGTGGTGCACATCGCGTAACGCTTCCTTTGTCGGCCATCTGGACCGATTTTACATAGCATTCGCGAGATGCGCTCTGCGATCCGCTTACCTCCCCTATCCCCGTTGGAGTGGGGAACTTCATTTTGAGGTGATAAATGGAAGTGACTGCCTGAAAGTTCTCAGTAGAGGTCGCCCTAAGATCCCATTAAAGGCTGATGGGCAGTCCACGACCAAGAATTCTGTACCCTAGTCACTTCGTCGTAATCGCCGAGCGTGACTGGGAGCTGGATTTCCATTGGGGATCAGGTGATCCCCGTAAAACCATACAGAGGCATCGAGGCGGCTTCAGGTCGGCCTCGACCAGGTTCATTCTATCGAAAGCGGATTTGAACAGGATGTTCACAGCGCTTCCGTTGTCTACAAGCTTCTGCAGACATTATGACACCCTATCAGGGGCGTGATTACCAGAGCATCTCGTGAGGGTGGTGCAAGTGAGCTGCCTCTTTCTACAGAAGGTGATCGGTTCCTCTTTCGGGCTTTTGGAGGTCGCTCCGATGTATTCATTACCTAATCGGGTGTGGCGAGCTTCACGAGCATATCTTTCCTGCGCTCCTCGCGTGTTTCCGCGAGGTGAGGACCTCCAAAGATTATATTAACGTGTCGTACACCGCTGCGATCACGGCGCTTCTTCTTTCGCTCCCCTTGGTTTTCTTTTGGGGAGTCATCAATGTACTCTGAAGTGCCCCTTCTTGATGAGCTCTTCGATAGCCTGCTTTGAGCTCGGCACTCATCAGTGAGGTGCCCATTATCCGATGGTAACGGCAATCTTTTGCTGTCCTGGCCGTAGCAGGGGTTTTCATGGGCTCGGGCGCGCGAGCAAGCTGGCCTCCTCGGATTTGTCGAGGATGCGGATACGGAACATTCAGCGGAGTATATGGGTCGCGTCGCGATCGGACGGGAGGAATAGGAGCATATGACTTTTTTGCTCATAGCGGGGTTTTTTTCCCTTCGCTGATCGGCAGTACTCCTTTGCGATCAGCTCGCCTGTTATCTTCGACCAGGCGTTGCGGGATGTGCCGTGGTCGCGACGACGGAGTGCTGCCAATGAATTCTCTATCCGGAGATGCTTTTCGCCAGGCTATGGAACCTGGTGAGGAAAAGTTGTCCTCAGCCTGCAGTTCTTTCCACAGGTCGGTTTGCGGGCGAACTCCAGCTATTAGAGAGTTCGGATGGACTCTCTGGTGCGTAAGCCACTTTGTTGAGCTCCCTGTGGAAACGACATAAAGACTGCGGGATTCGTCTCTCTCTTGCCTTATTGCGACGTAGCTCAAAGGCATTGAAAATTTTCGGTTGGCTTGGAAATGCGGAGGAACGCTGTGCTCATGAGCCCACGAACCGATAGATCCCGCGCGAGAGCGACCTAAACCAATGCTGGCATGAGAGGTCAGTGTCACGGCCAAGCAGCGCACTTCGCAAGGTCCGAAACTGGGGGAGCTCCATCAGGTGTTGAACTCATATAAATGATCCTACGGATCGTAGTTTCCATCGAACGGTCGCATATCTGGCATTCTGAACCCTGGTGGAAGCGGAGCAGCCAATATTTCAGGAGGAAAACGGGGATGTAGAGGTGACCTGTGCCTGCTCGTTTTGTGCTCTTTAGCCTATCAGAGCTCGCTGGAGCTCCTCAATCTGCGGTAAAGGAGTCAAATGGGGGTCGTTTCACCATGCGAGCCGGCCTCTCGGTTGCGGTTCAGGACTGTTCGGAGGTCGGATTCCTCCTCACCTCGGCTCGCATTTCCAGCCGCGCTCGACACACGCTGACTAGAGACGCGCGAAGGTGGTGGATAAGCGGGGGGACTTTCACGACCCTCGCGGTGGTACGAACCGCCCCGCGAGGTGTGGTGGCCACCCGCATGAGAACGATGGGGATCGTTCTTGTGGTGGTGATCGGAATCATCGCGCCCAGCATTTTCGCTCGGGTTGGTTGCGACGTGGCGTGGGACAGCTGGGATCTACTTTTCCACCGAGTCTCAGCTTTGCTGACACCCTGCTCGGGGCGCCCTTTGTATTCGCTGGCCCTTGGGAGCCTGTAGGCTTACTTTGCCACTTGCTTACCCTTGCGTTTAGCGCGTGCAGTGCTCGCGGCGCGGGCTATCGCCCTTGCCGCGCTTTCGCGCGACCTGCTGGCGTTTTTGGCGGTTGCACCGCACCGGTGTCGGGACGACATGCCTTGGTCCAGACGGTCTAACCTCGGTTGACCGTCTGGAGAGTATTGTCGAACCTCTCAGGTAGCTTCGGATGGCAGGGTCAGTTGCGGAAGCCGGGGTTTCCCAACAGCATTTTGCGATACTGGAGGTATGCTGGAAGGGGTGTCCCTCGGGTGCGGGGACTCTTCAACAGTTGGTTCCCTGCTCAGGTTCAGATTGCGGGCCATTGTAGCTGTAAGACCAGTAGGTCCAAGGTTTTCGATGAAGGACAGACGCTAAATCAGGCCCTCCTCTAGCGCCAAACTGTTGATGCTGTTTTTCGGCACCAACCAATTGTCACGTGGTTTGTTCTTTGATGAATTTACGCACGTGATAATGGGTATAGAAATGAAAAAATGCAGGAAAACTTTTAAAGTGGTTCGGATGCTAAGGTAGCAAGTCCTACATCCACTGAGTTGTATTGATTTTAGTGTTGGTCGGTCGCTAAAGCGTAATGACGTACAAAAAGTTTATGAAAGTGAGCTACTTTCTCTTTGTTACAAGTGAGAGAGTTGTTTTTTGGTAATGAATGAACCAACCCCCTAATGGTGGTTTTCTACATTTTATATCGAATCGAAACGTGTAATCATCACTAAATCTAAGGGTTGGTGTGATTGTCAGGAGTATATCTATCTTCACGCCGTTTTCCTTTTTCAAGCTGACTTTGCATGACTCGTGCGCAGAGAAACGGACGCGTGGTGAACTCCGTGTTTATTTGCAGGTCTGACGTGCGTACATTGTCCTGAGGGGGCAGGTCACCCGTAGCGTGACTCATCCTACGTCAGCCATTGTTTTCCCGGGTATACATAATTAAAAAAAAAAAAAAACTATTTCGTACACTATTAAAAGCGTAGATCGAAATCGACAAATGACTATATAAAAATTATTCAAATTGTAAGGTTGAAGGAATATTTTGAAATGAAGTTAGTAAATTAAGAAAAATACAAAAGAAAATTCTATTAATCACACTTTAAAGGAAACAAAATCGAAGAACGGTAGGGTCACCAACTGTCATTGGGCTGTCCGTCCATTGTCCATAATTAAGCCACATGGAGGTTTGAAATAGACATTGAACTACTGCATGAGCACCTGAATTTGCGTACACAGGTTATATCTCGAAAATATGATATTACAACAAATTTTGACTAAATTACCCAACAAAGAAAAGAATATTCATGTGAAATAAAATATATGAAAGCAAATATACAGCTTCGGCATATCATCCTCTTAGTGCAAAGTTGACAAAAAAATTTATATAAAAAAATTAAGGGTTGTTTGTTTTCACACTTAGAAAAAATGAACTTTTATATTAAGATATTTACAGGTTGTTTGGTTTGATCACTTAAGACTGAAAATCAGTTTTATTCCTCTTAATGCAAAAAGCTACAAATAAATAAGTTAACATGGGCAAGGATATTACAATTTAAATTAAGTTTTTGTCTCATACCAGACTTACATTCTGCGGCAAAATTAGAGTTGATGATTGTACCACACTCATCAACTCAGTTACGCAATGTTTAATTTCTCAACGTCTTATGTTCAGTCTTCGCAAAAGCTTAGTAAAGTCTCCACGCCTCTTTCAAGGGGATATTAATCATCTCGCCAAATTTTCAAATTAAGAGGTAAAACCGTGGTATGTCCACGTGGTGGTCACTTTCTAATTTAGCTTCGAAATGCGGTAACTTCATCTCTCTCTTTCAATACGCATACACCTAAGTATGAGCCTCTGCTTTGAAGCATGCTATGGATTCTCCTTCCCATTTCTGCAATTTATTCACCAACCCCAAAATAGTCCAGGAAGTGAAGGCAAAATGAAAGCCGGTCAATTAGTTACGACTTTCAAATCAATACCGACATTGTGTAGCCAGACTCTTGAATAAGAATAACAACTTTTACAGAGGATCCAATTGTACTCTTCATATAATTCATACCTCAAAATTTGAGTTGTCCACAAAATTAGAAACAGAGGATCCATGCATAATCAAAATTTTAACAAAGAAATATTTATATAAAAGAAACAATGGTTACAGACCTAATGCTACAGAAATACATAAACAACCAAATGCCAGCCATTGAATTTTTTACACCGAAGGCAACACTCATTATACACATCCAATGCCTGATGTTACATTGTTAACCGCCAAGCAATAACACATCATCGCTAGGTGGTTATCGTCTACAACCTAAGACAAATCAAGATTTTATTTCTGTATCTATCTGTATATTCTTACACTCAGTTCCAAGCAGATGCCGAGATCAAGTCCCTGTCTTTCCACGCCAACAACATAGCCCCATCAGTCTCCACCAGTTTATAATGCTGTGAGTAACACCTCAGCAAGCTTTTAATCACAGAGTTGACATATGGGCTTAATGGGCATTGCCGGAATCCTGCCATTGTAAACCTAGACTTCCATTTGCCAAAGAGTTCGTGTCGCTCCACCCTCTCCATCCCCTCGCAAGCAATAACATTCACGATATCCCTGGCCAAACAATGTTGTTCTACATTGATTCGCTGCTTTTGGTCCCTTGGCATGGTCACATCAATTGACTCGAACATTGCCAAGTAGTAGTTCAGCACTTCAATGAACCTAGGTAGGAAAGCAGCAGTGTTTGTGTTTGATTCTTGCTCCACCAAGGTTACCACCTTCGGATTAAGGGACTTTATCTTCCTCAAAAGCCCATCCCTTGGGTTGTTCACATCAACGCTTTCATCTGGGGTGTGGTGGAGCTGCAGAGGGAAGTTCACAGCAAGAGCCTCACCAGGCCTGACATCAAGCATTTCCAGGGTCACTTTGGGAGCAAAAACTGGTACAGGGTGAAACTCAACAGGAATATTGAATTTCTGAGAGATTGCTGCCAAACGTTTGCCAACTGCCTCCAATCCATAACCACGGGCATATTTTGAAACAGGATCATCAATTCCTGTGATCCGCACATGAGGGGGCCCAGAAGGTTTAGCTGCAAGCGCCTGCAAGAGAGTCATCCATTGTGTTCCCTGAGCTATCTGGAAATCGACAATATGGATGCGATCCTCGTTTTTGCATGCTTCAGCTATGGCCCCGTTGGCTGCCATGTAACCAAACTTCAAGTAGGGGCAAATTTCATACAGGATATGCATATAAGAAAGTAAGTCCTTGCTATTGGGCTCCTTACAACGAAGAGCATGGTATATATTAGAGCCCGATTTTTCCTTCCTTGCTATCAACCCTTCTACCATGTAAGCACCAAGACGCTGAATTGGTTCTCCACTGATAGATACAGCACCTCTAGCCTTTGCAATCAACCTATCAAAATCATTTATGTTGTTTTCAGAGAGAGCTTTAGCACATGCAATTAATAACTGCTTCAGATTGCCTGAAGGAAAACACTGCAACGATGATTCTACTGGAGCCACTTCGCCCGACTGCCTATACCTAGAAATAGCGGATGGCTTCGGCTGAATCACATGTGAACTCTGACGGTCCTGGCTCCAAGCATCTCTAGATCTATGATGGCCAGATGCATGCAGACTACTACTCTCCCCATAAGAAGCATTCGGTGTGGTTACTTCTTTGTCTCTATCAGGTGCCATCAGTTCAGTCTCTAATTCCTGCAAAAAGTATTCTATCTTCTGGCTACAATTTGCATTCTCTACATATGAAGTCCCACCAGGATAGAGGGCTCGGCTGTCTACAGAAGGGCTTAACCGATGATAATAACTGCTGGATTCCAGTGAAGAATTACAAGAAGGGCTGAGCCCAGAAAGATTCTCTGGAGAGCTGTGGTGCTCCTGGCTGTCACTCAAAGTAGTAACTGCATCACACTCAAACTGACTTGAAAAAGGCGAGTTAGGTGAGTTTCTGATGTCAAATTTTAGAGATTCAATCAACCTATTAGCTACAGAAGGGACAGTGGGATGAGAAGATGAGTACGATAATCCTCCACTAGAAACACCAAGTCCGAAAAGCTGGTGTGAGTCCATGCTATGCTTTTAACATCAGCTCTTCTCCACAGCTATGCTTTTAACATCAGCTCTTCTCCACAATATGTAATCCGAAAAGAAATATTATTCCCAGTGCAGAAACTGATCAACCACACCCTTCGTAGTCAACAACTATATGCAGCTTTATAATTCCTAGAACAATACCTAAACTCGAGCACCTTCAAAATCAACCTGCAACAACAATCAAGCCAATATTTAACTTCCTGATATTCATGTTCCAAAGAGGTGCAACAGCAACTACAGTTTTCAACATAACCAACAACTCTAATCACCAGCTACACAGCATATTTAGATCCAATAACAACACAAAAGGAGCCATCACCCACTACTCTAATCTATAGCAAAGATTAAACAACATAAAAGTATCCCCTCGGTTCCTCTAAAAAATTAATTTATCATTTCTTGGCAGACACGACAATCCGTACCAACAAAGTGAAAGGTAAATTCACCAAATTCAAGCAACCTCTTATTTTCTATCACAGAGTCAATTTACATTTTCTTGGTAAACAATAAAAAGTTCCTGAATTAGAATTAATTAATAATTATTAGGTATAATAAGAACCTAGTCACTCTCAACGTAACAGTGAAAATTTCACAGTCCATTTTCAAGAAAGTAAAGTTCCAGCTACAATAGCAACAGAGCTTTCAAAACTAACAAAAACAATAACAAATTAAAAAATACATATGTAGAATAACAGTTCTTCAATTCAAAACATTTCCAGTAACATGTTTAATTAACTTCTCATATGCAGAAATTCTTCAAGCAGCTTCAAAACAGCAATAGCGGCATAAATGATAATAAGCAGAGTAATATTTAAATATTTAAAAATGAAAATAAAGATTATTATTTAAATTTAGTTTTGTAATTACCTGAGAAGCTTGGTGAAGAAGAAACGTTGATTCGAAATTTTCAATGTCTGGTTTGGGCTTGAAATTGCAGCGGGTTTGAATCCGAAGACCAGGGGAGAACTAGAGCGGGGTATTTATAGAGAGAGGGGGAGTTGACGGAAGTTTTACAAAGATAACGGTGACAGGAGCCGTTGGAGCGTTAGAAGCTGGTTAGATAATAGATAAGCGATGGTCTTTATTTTACTGCGGAGATTGGTCACGGCGTCATAACGAATGTCCACACGCCGACCATTTGGTCTACATTTTAGTAGAACATTCCTTGCTATTTCCCTTCAGTCATTGGGACCTGCCTACTCCCACGCGCCTCTAGGGGCATTCCTCGTCACGCAAGCTCTGAAATGGATGACTTTTGTTGTCATTCTTTTTGTTTGAATGTCTGTCTTATTTTTAAAGAAAAAATTAATTAAAGTTGATAAAGGCCTTTCCACTTGATAAATATGAATATAATAATTATTATATATAATTTTATTAAATATTCTTATATATTATTTCATAATCAAGTTTCAAATGTGTTAACTTATGTTTTCTTCAGACTTTTTCAATTTCAAGAAAATTTCACTGTTGTAGAGTTATTTTCGGATGGAACTCACGCGCTGTGCGAGACGTCGGTTGCGCATAGTAACTAAACCCTGCTTGACCGATGATACTCACGTGGTTGCCAGCTCATAGGCTTTTAGACGTGTTGAGTGGTGAAAGAAAACCAGCAAAATGCCACTAATCAAGTTTTCGTACTGACACGTAGACAGAAGACCACTGTTCCTTTTGACTCGTTTGACCTGACGTGGCACGCGTTCACATACATTTCAAAGTTCAAACACGACCAAGTAAATTAATTAATTAAAAACTTTCTCAACTAATTCACCATCCACTTCTTTCTCAACTAGTCTAATTGAAAGTCTACTTTTTTCTTTGAAAATTGAAATCACTGTCGCAGTCTTTCACTAGTCTAATTTGGTTTGCCAATTTTAAAATATTGCCTTATATTTATTTTTAAATAGTTTTTTTAATATACTCTATTTACATCACATTGTGCTTATATACATGGTATGTAATCAAACATTATCAGAATCTATTAGTCAAAACTCAAAAGCACTGATTCATAATATAAAAGTGTTTGTTGAATACCATATACATTATCAATATTAGATTTTTAATTTTATTTTAATGATAACAGTTTGATAATATAAGATTAATAATATAATGTTACACGTATTTCATGATGATATTAATGTGAATCCAACTCGATCAACTTTATAAAAAGATTTTAAAAAAAATGAGAATATCATGATATCATCCATTATGTAACATTTTTTTGTATAATTGGATAAACTCCAAGCAAATATTTAATTGAATTTAAAAAAGTCCTCATCCAAACACACGTGTGGCAATATAAAAATTTGAAAAAATGAGAATGTTATTCATTGCTACAAATCATGATAGTTTTGTTAGGAATACATCGGTCCTCTCTTTAAATCAACATCTTAATAAGAAAAAAATTCTAACCCAACATAAATAATGTGATTTGTCACGCTCTCCTTACTTTGTTTGATGATTTAACGTGATTTGGCGTGAAAAATGAATTTAGAGGAGATGCATTAGGATGATTTGACTCCATCATACTAATTACAATAGGCAAAAGCACTTTATACTTTAAAACTGATTATTCATTTAGAAAAATAAAAATTTAACCGCAATTGGATGGTCTACTAGTAAAGGAGCAAAAAAAGATTATATGAGCTCACACGTTCGAATTCCTCAAAGCACCAATAAGAGTAGTTATTAAAACTTTTATCCGATCGATAGTTTCAAGATCTTAATGAATTAATTGAGATGCGTATAAATTGGACCGAACACCCCCGATGATAAAAAAAATATTAATTATTTTTTACTAACAATAATTTTCTCAAATTTTCTAAAAATACCCATCTAATATATATATATATAAAAACTAATAATGTTTAATTGTTAAGCAGGAGTCAAATCAAGGGAATGGAATCAAATTGATAGGGTCAATTGTGCTTTTGGCATATGATGAAATAATTAAAATAAGATATGGGGCATACAAGTGGAGGGAAAATGGGATTAAATTTGGCTTTAGGAATCATTCACATCTAGAAAAAGATTATTTGTTTAAAGAGTTGTCCTATTAGGCTATTCCTATCTAGAAGCGCTTTTTGTTTGGATTTGTTAGTACAAAGGAAGCGCTTAGTGGCCTTTGCTTTTATAGTTCTGTTAATAAGAGGTGGATGCTGATGCATGCTTATCATAAAACTTTCAACGTTCTTTGAACCTTCTGCATTCACACGTGTATCCTTTTTTCTAGAAAAGAAATATGAAAGAGGGAGTAATATCTTGAGAAAAAGTGACTATTGTATGGTCTTATTGGTGAATAAAGATTTAATTATTTTATATATGATAAAGTATATGATTTTTTTTTTAATTGAACTCTAAAAGAATACTTATATTCAGTGACGGATCCAGGAATTTCATTCGATAGGGGTAAAAAATTAAAAAAAAAATTAAAATTAAAACCAATCATAACTATACTTTTTTTTTTTCATTAGATCAGTTTCAACAAAAAGTTACAAAATACAAATAAATATCTTGAAAAGACACAATTTTTGTAAAAATAAAACAATTTTTTCTACAATTGTCCTTGACGAGTTTTCATATTCTGAAAACGTTAGATAATTATCTCATCATTAATTGTATCAAATACATTTTTCTCAATATAGATGACCAAACAATTATTCATCTATTGATCTCCCATTCGATTGCGTAACGGATTTTACACAAGATTTATTGCAGAAAAAGCTCTTTCAATGGTCACAATTGCAATTGGTAAAATCAATGCAAGTTTAACAAGCTTATATACCAATGGATACAAAATGTATTTTTTAAACCGAACTAAATTCTTAGTCAAATCACCAATTCCTTGTAGCTCAACAAATTTATCACAATAACGCATGTCAATAACATAAATCTCAGCCTTGTTCTTAAGTACCATCAACTCAAATACAGAAAAATCATATGGATAAAACTGGTCAAACTCATTCTTCCCTCTCTTCTCTTTTTCCTTTTCCTTTGCTTCTTCTTCATTTATTCTTTATGGGTTTTTCTCTCTTCTTCATTTTGGTGAACAACCCTGTTTATATATAAAGCAATTTTTTTGAATTATGAAACTACCATAAAATTCTCTTATTCTCACAATGACCCCACCATATCAACTTTCTATTGTAAAAATGCTCAGATTTTTCCCCCCAGTTACATGCAAACACAACAGTTCTTATTCCTTTCATTTTCACTTCTTATAAAACCTTTAAAAACTAACAGATCCCCTTGCATGAAAATAAAAATCACAAAAAATATGTAATATATATATTAGGATTAAAAATAGGNTGTAACCGACTTTACACAAGATTTATTGCAGAAAAAACTCTTTCAATGGTCACAATTACAACTGGTAAAATCAATGCAAGTTTAACAAGCTTATATACCAACAGATACAAAATGTATTTTTTAAACCGAACTAAATTCTTAGCCAAATCACCAATTCCTTGTAACTCAACAAATTTATCACAAGAATGCATGTCAATAACATAAATCTCAGCCTTGTTCTTAAGTACCATCAACTCAAGTGCATAAAAATCATATGGATAAAACTGGCCAAATTCATTCTTCCCTCTCTTCTCTTTTTCCTTTTCCTTTGCTTCTTCTTCATTTCTTCTTTATGAGTTTTTCTCTCTTCTTCATTTTGGGGAACAATCCTGTTTATATATAAAGCAATTTTTTTGAATTATGAAACTACCATAAAATTCTCTTATTCTCACAATGACCCCACCATATCAACTTTCTATTGTAAAAATGCTCAGATTTTTCCCCCCAGTTACATGCAAACACAAAAGATATTATTCCTTTCATTTTCACTTCTTATAAAACCTTTAAAAACTAACAGATCCCCTTGCATGAAAATAAAAATCACAAAAAATATGTAATATATATATTAGGATTAAAAATAGGGTTTTACAAAAGTAAAATCCAAACTTACCATGAGGGTCATTCAATTCCCAAAATTTCAAATTCTATAGAGGCAAAATTTAAGGGTGCATTTGGTTTATTATTTTGGATAGGATTTTGGGGATAGTATTGGGATATTGGATATGGGAGTATTACGAGGTAAAATTTAAAAATTTATGAAAAAGCCCTTAGGTTTACTAATTTAATTAAAGACCCTAATATATAAAATGACAAAAACACCCCCACTACCTGCAGTTCCAGATTCCGGCCACCACTGCCGGAATCTGGTCGAAAAATTTTATTACGACACAAATCGGTCGGATCTGTGTCGTAACGCATCGTTATGGCATTTTTCGGCCAGATCCACCATGGATCTGGCCGAAAAATGCCAGATCTACGAACTACTGTTGCTGCGATGGCCGAAAAAGGCTGAAACGACGGCCATCTTTGGCCGTCGTTGACAGCAGATCTAGCCTTTTCCGACCAGATCCATTGTGGATCTGCCCGGAAAAGGCCAGATCTGGCCATTACCGGCTATTTCCGGTGGCTGTGTGACTATTGTGATAGATTTCGGCTATCACCGGCGATTGTCGGAATCTAGCAAGTATTGGTGGGTGAGGGTGTTTTTGTTAGTTTTTAAACTTTTTTCTAGGGCTGTTTAATGAAATTAATAAACTTATCGGGTCTCAATGTAATTAAAAAAATAGACTAATATTTTGGGAATAACGTGCCAAACAACATTTGAAAAATAGGATTGGGAATATGGATAAAAACAATAGGATGCGGAGACCGTGGCCCCCATTTGTCATTCATTGGATCCGCCAGTGCGGCTATATTTATAGAAAAAATCACACTACATTCACTTGCAAAAATTTCTCATGTACACATAAATTATGATATAATAAAATCAATCTTTCTATTTGAGTTACACGTTCTTATTTATTTGAGCTTATTGTTACCAAAAACACATAATTTTTTTTAAATGTTTTAAATTTAATATATCCATACCAAAAAAAAAAAAAAAAGAAAAGAAAAAATTCAACTCAACATTATTATTTAGTA